GGTGAAATACTGTAACCTTGCCTCAAGAAAAACATTGTACGTTATATAAATGTGGAAATAAAGTAAACCCTGGTGCATGTTGTGTTCCCCAGAAGATTAATTGTGCAGCCGCACATTGTACTGAAACCCCTTTCAAAATTTCAAGAACAATCACTAGGTAATCTAAGAACCTATTGTTTAATATTTAATTTGGAACATGTTCATTGTAGATCATTGTTAATGATTCTGTGACAAATGGCACTAGATAGCGCTTTAGACTGAGACACCAGAGAAAATTAGAACACAATATTTTTGTTTCTATAAGTGAGCACATATGTTTTTTGTGTGCAATTTTTCAGACATTTGAATCAATGTCAATGTTTGATGTGGCAAATCCAATAGCCTCTATAAATGTACACTTGCCTTTGTTGTCACACGTTGCGATTGGGCATCTTGGTATCAAATGGAAATGGGAGTGGAGAAATACTTCACATCATTAATGCATTTCACTTTTAGGAAACTAATGACAATGGCATTAAATGTAAATAATCCCAGTAATGTTGTTTATGTATTTTATTTTTATACTTATACTTATATTTTTATTTTTTCTAGGAGTCTTGGAGACAGACTATCCTGCAGGGGAGGAGATTCCTCTGGACCCGGAGGCGGGGCCAGACGCTTTATTGGCCAGCAGCAGCTCTCAGGGTAGTGAGGGTGCATTGAGTGACGTGTCAGCGGTGGGCTGCAGTGTTGAAGAGTCCAGCACAGGATCTCAGATGGGCAGCACAGGGGCCAACGAACAGTCAGCAGAACAGAGTCCAGCCAGAGGAAGTGGTAAGAACTCTCTTAAAGATCAGTGAGGTCATGTAATTTTGACAGCTCTTCATAGAAGCAATAGTCCAGACTCTGAATTTTGTTTGGATGAGCTGTTTGAAGTTTAACTTCTGATCGGTTAAATAATAGTCAGAAAGCCAAGGTTTTGCAAAAAAGTATGTGAAATCCTGGGACCTACATACTTAAAGAAAGGAGTCCATATCTGATAAAATGCATCCATTTTCCCTTTTTACCAGTAGGTGACATATTCCAATGAAAGAAAATCAAATATTACTTCATGCCACTCCGACACTGTCGGCGGTTTATCAGAGATCCATTTAAGAAAAATACTCTTACGAGCAGCATAAGTAAGAAGATTAAACAACTTCCTGTCCGAAATGCTCTTTATATTCTTATCAGCTACACCTAACAACAAATAAAGTGGATTGATGTCACATCCTATATTAAATATCAGAGTTAGTCTCCTACAGATTTGTACCCAATAAGCTTTAATATGTACACATTTCCAAGTACTGTGAATAAAGTCACCCTCTTTTTTTGGATTGAATTTGTGCCTGCGTAATGGAGTAATTTGGAGACGCTGTAAAAGTTTGAACTGTAGTTCTTTAGTTCTATTACAAATTGATATACTGGCAACATACTGCCAATTTTGTGTCCAAGTATCTACATCAATTGACAGCCCCAAATCTTGCTCCCAAATAGCTAGGGTTGCCTCATTATTGCCTTTTGTTCCTTTCAAAAGAGCTTCATAACTTCATAACATTGCTTTATTAGTGACCTCTTAAGATCTGTTATCCAGGAGCACTTGCTCTGTTGGAGTGGGGCAAGAAGAAAATCCAGGTACGGTATGTTTCTGCACAAAGCTCTTTATTTGGGGTAACTTAAATTTAGCTCTCAATTGTTCAAATGATAACAGCACCGCCTTTTCAAATAGATCTTTTATAGTGGTTATACCAAAGTCTTTCCAGAATGTGAAACCATTGTCCATCATTCCAGGCTGAAAATCAAAATTTCCTTGTATTGGAGTAATAGATGACAAAGTTTTGGCTTTCCCTTTCCAATCCTTGATTCATTTCCACACTCGTAATGTTTTACTAATAATACTGTTGTGCCCTAGACCAGAAATCTTTTTAACATCTATCACAAACGGGAGACAGGCCAGAGGGACCGGCAGGCCATCACCCAAATTAAATGATTCAATGTCTAACCAAGCTGAATCTGGATCATTTTTCACCCATTCAAAAATATACAGAAACTGGGTAGCTAGCTGGCCTACAGCCTAACATCATATTCCTTAATAAACTTCCTTTATTTCTGGGAAGTTGCATCTTAGTCAATTTCAATCTTGGTTTCCTCCGGTTCCAGATAAAAGAGCTGAACCAGCCATTAATACGTTTAATTATAGTGCAACTTAGGAGAATTGGGATCAGCTGTAATAAGTACAAAAATTTAGGCAAGACTATCATCTTGATCAGAGCTATCCTTCCTAACATAGACAATGGCAGGTGAGCCCATCTATCCAAATCTTCATGCACCCATCGCAAAAGAGGGTCAAAATGTGTCCTATACATTTGCTGTAACAGTGGAGTAATAAATAACCCAAGATAGGTAAAGGCCTGCCTAGCCCATTTAAGATAATTTTATATCCTGAAACCTCGCTAAATTGTTCAATAATCTCCATAATCACAGGAATAGACTCCTCTGGTTGAGTAACAAACAAAAGGATGTCATCTGCGTACAGAGGAATTTTATGTTGTTTACCTTTTAACCAAAATGCCAGAAATATGCGGATTACATCTCACAGCCTCTGCTAGAGGTTCGATAACCATAGCAAAAAGCAAGAGTGACAAGGGGCAGCAGCCCTGCCTAGTGCCCCTTCCTAAGTTAAAACTCTCAGAACGCCTACCGTTTGTAATAACTGCTGCTACTGCTATCATACATTATCTTAACCCATTGAATAAAAGTATCCCCCACCTCAAAAAAATTGTGTATAAAACGAAAACTCCCACTCAACCCGATCAAATGCTTTTTCAGCATCTAAAGAAAAAATCATACTATTAAGATTTTAATATTGCGATAACTGAATTATTGTCGCTCGAGTAGCGTCCATGAATGAACCCAGTTTGGTCAACTTTTATAATACTTTTAATAAAATTGAAAATTCTGTCATTAATTACTCACCCTCATGTCGTTTCAAACCCGTAAGACCTTCGTTCATCTTCGGAACACAAATTAAGATATTTTTGATGGAAACTGAGAGCTGTCTGACCCTGCATAGACAGCAATACAACTGAAATGTTCCCAAGTCCAGAGACGTAGTAAGGAGATCTGTAAAATAATCCATGTGACATCAGGGGTTCATCCGCAATTATACGAAGCTACAAGAATACTTTGTGCGCAAAAGAAAAAAAAACTAAAAACTTTATTCAACAATTCGTCTCTTCCACATCAGCCTGGTGCCATTTTGGAGAATATCCGCTGGACGTAAACGGCGTATGTTGTTCTGTGTCAGCTGCGTCACACGGATATGCTGTTTTCGTTCAGATCAAATCACAACAACGTAGGAAACAGATCCGGCATACGCTGTTTACATCCAGCAGATACCCTCCAAAATGGCGCTACAGGGTGACGCGGAGGAGACGGAATTGTTGAATAAAAAAAAACCTTAGTTTAAACTTCTGTGGTCTTCGTCTGAACACAACTATATACAAAACTACAAACATTCAAATACATGCCAAAGAAACAAAAACAAAAAAATGTCAACATGAGTAACCCAAAACCAAGATAGAAAGAAAAATAAGGGGGTAACCATCAGAGGAGTCAGAAGACCCCAATCCATTTTTCCAACCGCAGCCAGACCCTCTGTCTTTTCCGGAAGGCCGATGATCCTCAAGTTACGACGACGTCCTCTGTTTTCCTGATCATCCGATCGCTCAGTTAGCGCCTTTTCAATCTGCGCAACTCGACCCTTCGCCCCAGTGACCACATTCTCAAGAACTAGGATTCTTTGCTCCACTTCTTCCACTCGGTTGTTAGTACGCTGCACTTGCTGCTTTTGAAACATCCTGAATTTTCTCGAGAGTCAGCTCTAGTTTAGAGTCAATCATCCTTGCGATGTTAGCCATCAGAGATTCCACAACTTTACTAGTTTCAGGGTTTAAATCAGTGCTAACTTGCACCGCTAATCCAGCTTCATTGCTCGTTTAAGCCTCCTGGAGAGCCGCGCCATCTTTCTTCTCTGTAGCTTTTTTCGTGCGTTTTGCCGGCATTCTCACTAAAGACGATCCCCAAAAGTTTTCCAGTGACATGAAACGGTATTAAAAAGTTACATTTATCGAGAACACTGGCTGTTAAGTTGTTTTATTCAGGATAAAACCCCGTTCACACCAAGGACGATAACTATAAAGATAACGATAAAGATATAGTTCTAAAAATCATTCTCAATATTAAAGAATAGCAGAGTCCACACCACAACTATAACGTTAAAGGCACAGAGAAACGATATCCTTGGAATCATTTTCAGAACGATTTTTTTCCAGCTGATGAACGATAAAAACATTGACAGCCAATCAGAACCAATCCTGCTGTGACGAGCTCGAGAATTTAAAGCGGCAGACGCATGTGCGCTTAGAATAAACAGACGATATTGTTCGCTGGTGTGGACGCTAATATCGTTATCTTTATAGTTATCGTTCTTGGTGTGAACGAGGCTTAAGTTTTAACAACTAAGCCGGAGCCTAAGACAAATACCGCTTACTCGGTAGCCTGCATCGGCTTGCCCCCTGTAGTTTTTATTGTGGGGCAAAACATGTAATGAAATGCAAGACAATAATGGATGAGTTGAACAAATTAACATCCCTCAAAAGCTTTTCACAGCAAAAAGACACGTGAACCACAACCTGAAAATAGACGCTTTCAGAATGATGCTAAAAGGCCTTTTACTGGTCAGTCAGTCGACAAGTTTTTCAAGTTTTGATCATGTTGATAACTTAAAGGCCCTAGAAATTTGCTACAGCAGGCTTTATAGGGTTAAAAGTAAACGTGACAGAAGTCTCTTGTTGTAGATCTCTCCAGAGCTCCCAGTGAAGATGGGTTCCCTGCAGCAGAGGAGGCTATGGAGGCCACTGAGGAAGAGCAGGAGAGCCCAGGACAGGACACCAGCCAGCCAGGAATCTACACGGAGCACGTGTTTACAGACCCACTGGGAACAGAGTCTTCTGGGCCTTCAACAGGCAACGATAACCAGAGGTGAGCCGGGCACAGTATCTTTATCACTGCTGATTTATATCCAGATGTGGATGGGAACTCATCCTTGGTTGGGTTCCTTGTCAGGGAGTCCAATCAGGACAGGGACGATACGGCCTCAGCAGGTGGAAAGACGAATCTGGCGAAAGAAGAGATCCAGCGGATGAGCAGCGTGCTGCCCACCATGTGGCTGGGGGCTCAGAACGGCTGGTGAGATACACGCACTCAAATACACAAACATAACAGCATCTGGCCACAACAGACTTTGTTAAACAGCATAATTTATGAAAGGAAATAGGTCTGTCAGGGATAGTAGTATGTTGTTTTTTCTATTTGCCATACTGTCTTTCGATCTCAGTTTGACAACCTGTTTCCTGGAGTATTTTTGTCAACTTGAAATTTGTGGTAAGTCAAATAGGGCCCTTTGATTTGCATGATGCAGAAAAAGCTGATGGAATGATACTGTACAACTCAGAATGTCACAGAATCTGACTAATTAAAAGTAGAGCCGCACAGTTAATACGGTTTTAATTGCAATATGAACTTGCATCTGTGACGTCATTTTAAATATGCAGTCTGCCTGTTCTGTGTGTCTCTGTGAGAATGAGCAGCTGGTTTCATTTACTACACATCCTCGAGCATGCGTGACGCTCATGGTGTTTTCAGCATCTGTCGTCTCACTATATGAAGGAACTCCGCATGAACTTCATCTCCAGATCTTTTTGATTATTGTCAAATACACACAGAAAAACTGAAAGGTCTTCTATACAAACTGCCAAAATCAGTGTTTTGCGATCTGAGAGTTTAACTTTTCTCATTGGCAAATGTCTTTCATGTAGTTTATACGTGCACTCATCTGTCGCTCGATGGAGGAAGTGTCTTCATGCTGTCAAGCTGAAGGATTCCATCTTGAATATTGTGTAAGTTGAAACTCAAGAATACTGTAATCACCTTTGAAATATAGTTTTTTAATTA